AGAAACAGCTGAATCAATGAGATTGCACACTTTTCAAACTGTGAAACAGGAGTAAAATATACTAGAAGAGCCCTGGCATGTCAATCGGTCTCTTCAAGCAGATGGACGATACAAAAAAAGGAATCTAAGAGGCAAGAAGAGAGAAGTGCTGGCATGATCTAAATGTCCCGCCTCCACATGCCAATCTTCCCCATCTCCTTCTCACCTCCAGTCCTACTGAGGAAGGCATGCCTCAGATACCCACGGACTGAGCAAGGCATTGCTACTGAATCCCTGGGTTACAGTTGCATCCATGGAGGTAAAATGAACTATGGGAGAGAGGCACTCAGCAAGGGACAAGTCCATGAGATTGACGCAAAGAGAAAGAGTCTATTTCTGTTCCAAGCCCATGCTAGCTAGGATTTCCAAAGGAGGCCAGCTTTAACCATCTGCCAAGTCAGAGAGCGAAAGCCACCTGGCCAGGAAACCATGCTCTTATCCTTTTATCTCTCTGCCCTCCCACACATATTTGACCCTAGAAAGGAGGTGAGCAGGGAGCATGAAGGAGGAAGAGGAGACAAGGTTGCTCCCTCTCCTACTGTAGGCTTCAGGCTGGAGAGCTTTGATATTTGGAGTTTTGACTTTGCATGGCCCTGGATATTGTCAAGACTAAATTAAAGCTATACTTATGATTTAAAATGACCACAGAACTATTGTTTACCTGACTGAACAGAAAAGACGTGGGAGGAGCCCAAACCTTTACCTAGGGTCAGATGAAGATTACCCTGCCCCCACGAATAAAAATAAAGGGAAAGTAGGAAACATAAAGATGCATTTGATCAAAACCCACATGTTGTGCACCACACATAAGCACCATATAACCAAAATAATTCTGATAGGCGGCAGTGTTATTTCCTCCTCTTTTTTTTCTTAATATATTCCATTGATTTTTTACAGAGAGGAAGGGAGAGAGATAGAGAGCCAGAAACATCTATGAGAGAGAAACATCGATCAGCCACCTCCCGCACATCCCCCACCGGGGACGTGCCCGCAACCCAGGCACATGCCCCTGACCGGAACCGAACCCGGGACCCTTCAGTCCGCAGGCCAACACTCTATCCACTGAGCCAAACCGGTCTTGGCTTATTTCCTCTTCTTGAAAAGCAGCTTTTAATAGTGAACTCGTGCTGAAGTTGCCATAATTGGCTTTTTCTACTTTCTTCTTCTTAAGACGAAGTATGAATAAAGCCTATTGATAGAATGATAATGGTTATAGGTTATGGCACAGATCTGAGGTTGAGAGTCGATGGAAGAGCCTTGACAACAATTTTATTAGGGGGTTGTGCACCTCCCTAGTAATGTTAATTCAGTAACACACCCCTCCCTTGAAATTTAAGGCTTTCTTCAAATTTTGGAAGTATGAGCGGTCACTGTAATTATGCCTCATGCCTCAGTGCTCAAGTTTCTGTGATCTGTCACTCAAGTAGAATCCTTAGAAGCACCAACTGGCCCCACTTGGCAATGAAATTGAGTGTAGATGGAATCATTATGTTATGCACCTGTGCCTCTATGCCACCCTAATAAAATTTCCAGAAGACAGCCCCCATTTTCCCCACCATCCTACTCAGGAAAATTTAATTTCTTATAAAGGAAATTTTTTTAAAAAAGATTTGTGACTCGAGCAAGGATTACACACTCAAGAGTCTGCCATTTAGAGTATTCCTAAAAAATTTCTAATCTGCCAATAAGTCATCCTGTGATTAATATAGTGGCTTAAATAGAAATCTGTCTAAATAAATTAGGTTTACTCCTTTCCATTAGCCTTGAAAAAATATAGCCCCAGGGAGACTTAGGTATAAGTTGTGTATAGAAAGCAGGCACTTCTTTTTTAAATTAAGAATTATAAGGATGGAAGAAAGGAAATTGCCTTCTCTCCAAATGTACCCTTCTAGACTTACAACCTTGATTTCTTCTTTCAGTTCCCTCCTGCTCAGTCCTAGTCTCCAAATTTTATCTAGGACAGTTTCAACATTGATAAAACACTGGGATAAAACTTAGTGTCTACTGTGTTGTTGCCTTGAAGCTATAGTGCTTATCTTTTAAACAATTACTGTGACCTCCTTCATCCAGCCAATTATCAGTGACAGCTATGTTTAAAAAACAATCACTTTAGTGTCATGAAGATCACTGCTAATTAAAGTCAATCAGAGTATTTGCTGAGTGTTTGGTGTCTGTTCATTGTGTGTTTTTCTAAGATCTCCTTATCCCAAAGTTAATTATACCAAAAGACAGCAGATTGTCTGAACCTCAGGGGGGATTATTCCTCAGTTTGCATTTTTGCTGTTATTCTTAGAGCATTACTCATGGTCATTTGTTGAAGGAAGTATCTTAAATAGAAGACAAAATTTACAGTAAACATTTTAGATTTTGAGAATGATAATTAACATTTCTAATAGTATTAAGTAAATATGTATGCAGAAATATATGTTATTGCATTTTTAGCATAGAGGCATACCAACAGGTTTAGAAGAAATTGCAACTATAAAGAGAAACTTTTACTCTACTCATATATTATATGGTTAAGAGAAATATAAGGCATGGATCATGCCCTCCCAGACCACACAACCTAAATGAATGTGTTTGAGTCTTTTGAATTTCAGGGACCAATAACTTTTCCAGAGGGAAAAAAAATGGGAGGGGCAGACAAAACAAAAATGCCAAGTTTTCCTTCTGTCCAGCTACACAATAAAAATTACTAACATTTACATAGTGCACTTTGTTTGCCAGACACGAGTATAGGGATTTATTTATTTATAGTAATCCTTCTGACATTTTATAAATATATAAAACATGATTAATTATTAATGTCATTAATATATTATATTAGTAATCTATAATAAAAGTGTAATATGCTAATTAGACCGGACGACCTTCCAGACGAAGCCAGGGCTGTGAGGGAAGCCCGGGTCCTGGGTGCCGGCGCCTGGAGGGAAGGAAGGCTTACTCTTGCACAAATTTCGTACATCGGGCCTCTAGGAGCATATAAAAGTCCACCATTATACTACCTCACATCAGTTAATTTCCTTAATTCATTAAGTTTATATTCATACTAAAAGAGTAAAGGAGTCAACTAAGTACAAAATGAAGAACTCCAGTGATTGCCCATTACCCTTAGTAGGAGGATAACGCCAAATTCTGGAGGTTGAAATTCAAGGAACTTCTTGGTCTGCTTCCAATATGTTTGCTACCAATAGAATGGAAGTTTCCTTGGAGCTAAGACTTTTTCCACATTGTTTATTATAGCAGGGCAATCACTGGAGTTCCATGGCCTGTTATTCTAGGTGTGTTAGTATAATCACAGAAACCTGTCTTTTCACTGGATTCCAGGGCTGAAATAAATCAACCATGACCCTTCAGGTGAGTAACCAGGCTTCTGTGAGTAGGTAGAGAAAAGAAAAAGGGAAAAAATTACTCCATTTTAGAATATAAATGGGCAGTTGAAGATGATGTATATTTATTTCTTTCACCAAGAATGCAAAGCACTTTTTAAGCACAGCTCAATTTGATTTCCAATAAGTAGTGTAATATCAAGATGTGTGTGTGTGTGTGTGTGTGTGTGTGTGTGTGTGTGTGATTGGGCAGGGGGAAAGGGAGTGAAAAGGAAGTACAATTCCATTATTTTTAGTGGATTGCTAACTTTTTCCCCATTGAGAGACTTTTTAGCCATCTCTTTCTACCATGTCTTATGTCATGTCTTGGTATCCAATCGACCCTACCAGAGGCAAGCACATGAACTCTTTTAGGCCTCTAAGGTACCATTCACATCACTCAGTGCACTTTTGGCACTCTATTCTATAAGTAGACTGTACAATACTATTTAGTTCAATACACTAGTGATATATAAAACGGAAGTCTTGAAAGAGTTAACCCCATATTACTTGCCCAACATTTGGCTTAATGCTAGGAATTTACTGAAAAACTGGAGAGAATAGAGCCCAATATCACATTAACTGGCACAAAATTATGGTGACATAAGCAAAAACAGATAATATTATCTTTCGTGTACAAACAGAAAAACTAAGAAGCCCAAGAAGGTTTTGCCCACAGTCACACAATGAACTGGTCTCAGAGCCAAAACTGTTTCCAGGTCTCCCAATGTTCCATCTGGAGCTCTGCCTATGGTTTCCTCTAAATTCCAACTCATGTAGGGAAGGGGCAGATGAAAGTGTGTGAGAGGGCAGAGGTTAACACAAGAGTCCCGTGGGCCCTTCCAGGTCCAAAATTCTATGTCTCTCACTCCCACCACCACCCACCCCCTCCATTTCTCTGAAGTGAAATGCTGACCTGTTCCACTGTAAACCCTGCTTGAGATTAAACAGAATTTTTAATAGAATCTGTAAAACCATCCCTTCCAAATTTCCTCCCTGGACAGTAGTTACAGTCACCTCTGACCACACCAAACCCAGAAGCAGCCTTTCCACATTTTATCTCAGTTCCCAGCAGCAGGCTTGCAACTTCCCACAGTTTATTTTCATCTCTCCCTCGCAAACAAGGCCTCTTGTGAAATGAGAGAAGACAGGGTCAGTACACTCACTCACCTGCTGCCTAGAAAGGAAACACTGTGCAAACCCGGGACGCCTGCAAAGGGGCGGGCGTTGGGGGAGCGGTACCCAGAGGTCGCACAGCTAATTTGCAAGCAGATACCGCCCATTGGATTTCTTATGTCTCAAGTTTAAATAATTTTGTACTTGGAGAGGGGGCCGAGAATTAAGAAGGTGGGGAAACTGCCGTGATTTTGCAGTCAGTCTAGTAGCCAACCCCTCCACACCAACGTTCAGAATAAATAAACTTTGGAGCCGGGTATGAATTTATATATCATCTGGCTCAACTCACACCTTAGCGATGTTTTTAAACAGGCAAACAGGGAAGTGACCTGTCCCAGGCCACAGGACTCATGAGTGGCAGTCAGTGGGTGAGGGCATTTCAAGGTATAGGAACAGAAAGAGAGAAGCTCATGTTACCTCAGATCGTGAAGACTTGCTTTAGGATGCACAGGGTGAGCACTTTCCATGGCAGCATAGCCAGCTGAGCACTGAACACTGCGGGTGCAAAGGGTAGCTCTAGTAAAGGGGTTGCGAGGCTCCATTTACACAGGGATTTCTTTCAAAAATGGGGCCGGCTCTATTTATCCTGTGGTTTCGCATCCGCAGATTCTGCATTTGCAGATTCAACTAAGCACGGATCAAAAAAAGTATTTTTGCATTCCCAACTACAGGTCAAGACCACAGATTGAAAATACTGTTTTCCATAGCTGTTGATTGAATCCACCGATGCAAGGGGCCAACCTTAGATTTTGGAGGAGTCAAAAGTTACACGCGATATACCAGCCCATAGGCCCCTAACCCCGCACTTTGTTCAAGGGTCAACTGTATATGCTCAGTCTTCTATTATGGACAATAACTACTCTCAGCCTTTGCTTTTTTTTTTCTTTTTTTTTTTTTGTAAGCTTCGGTTGAATTAGGGGTCGAACCTGCAATCGAGGTACAGTGCCCTTGACCAGAATTGAACCCGGAACCCTTCAGGCCGAGGCTCTATCCACTGAGCAAACTGGCTAAGGCTCTGCCTTTGCTTTTCACTGCTTTTGTTCATAGGGACACACATCTCTATTCTCCTCTGTGCTTAATTCCTGCTTCCCAGGGTTTTTACTTCCTGTGGGACCTTTCTGACTTATTATTGTGTGTCTCCTGCCTTCTGCTCCTCTCTGCAGTTCACTACCCTCAAATAGACTTACATTCAAGCTCCAAGGAGGAGGATCCAATGGGCTCAATTAGGAACTCTGCCACAGTTCCTCTGCCACAGTTCCACAGAGCTCTCCCACCAGACCTCAGGGCCATTACAGAAGATGACAATAGGAAGATGTCCTTCCCTGGTCAATCAGGTTAGGATAGAGAGAGACAAAGTTGAACGGTCATCTTTCCTCAGAATGGGGCTTTAGGCATGGAAAACACTTAAAGCATAATAGGTTCCTCCCCAATTAGTACTTTGGACTAGATCCAACGTTTCCTCAGTTCTACCGTAGTATCCAGCGGTCAACAGGAAACTATTTCTGGAGCCAGGCTATCTGGGACTTAATCCCCTTACTCTTACTTTCTAGCCAGTTATGCTTAAGGAAAGTTAGGCAACCTCAGATTCCCTATTTTTAACATCAAGAGCATAATATCACCTGTCTTGTGGGAGGACTGGGGTAATTTGCATAGAATGCTTAGAAGAGACTCTGACATGTACTAGTAAGTGTTTAATAATTTAGATATTGTGATTATTGTCATATTTTTCCATAGCACCTGTAATTGTTTTTTTTTAAAAAAAAAATCTAATTCTTTGACACTTTTCCCACAAAGGATGGAGTCTAATTCTTCTTCTTTAAATATGGTCCACCTTAGTGACTTGCTTCTAATAGGTAGAATGCAACAACAGTGATGCTGCATGATCTCCAGGCTAGGTGGGGGAAGGCAATAAGAGTCTCTGCTTTGTTGGGATTCCTGCCCTCAGAACTCAGCCATCTTGCTGTGAGGAATCCCAGGACCCATGGAAAGGCCTCGCAGAGGTGTTCCAGCAGACAGCCTGAGCTGAGATCTCAGTCAACAACCAGAATAACCACCAGATATATTAGTAAATAAACCTCAGCTAATCCAAGTCCTCAATTTTCAAGTCTTCCACTCAAAGTCCCAGACACCGTGGTTCAGAGTAAGTAATCCAGTCAAGCCTTGTTTGAATTCCACAGAATCTATGAGCATCATTACTGGCTGACTTATACCATTTAAGAGGTAATTTATGTGGCCATAGTAAGTAGAACAGGCCTTTATTTCTTCACCTCTCTGACTGCACTATTCATGGGGATCATCAGAGGAATCTGGGGGATATTAGATTATCTCTAAAGCTTGGCTTCTACACTGAAGTTTTTCTTAACCAGGAGGTAGATGAAAATGGTCTAGGAGCTTTATTTTAAAAATGCATAATCCAAGTTCTATGCCACACATGCTGACCAATGGATATGGGACTTAATTATATGTAACTTGGCAATGTTCCTTATTTAACTTCAACAAATCTCCACAAGAAGAGACCACTGGTATACCAATTCCCCGCCCTCAGTTTAGAGGGCAATAGCTGAAGCCCTTCACCCATACTCATTAGGAGTTCCCTAAGAATCTCTATGTAACCAGCTCTGCTGCCCGAGGACCTGAGAGGAAGACCACACTCCCATTCTAGGAATGAATTAGAATCCATTAGATATTTCCACTGAGTAACCTTCTCCTGATGGAATCCAGGTCTTAAATGGAAGATACCAAACTACAACCTTCAAAAGTGTATTTCTAACATATTGCCAGTAGTCTGCCAATTCTTCCCTTCAAAATATGGAGAGCTGGGTACAAGATGAAGATGTTTACTCTCACTACTTCTATTCTGCATTGTGCTGGAGGTTTTTGCCAGAGCTATTAGGTAAGAAAAAGAAGTAAAAGGCATCCAGATTGGAAAGGAAGAAGGAAAACTATCTCTATTTGCAGATGACACATTCTTACATACGAAATCTGGAGAGTTTAATAATGTATCCTTCTGAGCCCCAAAGACCAAAAGGAATTGTTCTCCCTCTCCCTTCCCTTCTCCCCAGATCAATGATGCTCAAACTTTAGTGTACAAAAGAGTTCTTAAACACAAATTCATAGGCCCAAGTCCCAGAGATTCTGAAACTTAAGGAGCACCTTAGGAAAGTCTGATGCAGGTGAATTTCAGGCCACGCTGTAAAACTCAGCATGATTCAGTGATACCAATAAGTATAGGAAGAAGACATTAAGTGCTAGTTCTCCGTCCACCCTCTTTTCTTTCCTCACTTTCCCTTGCCCCTCAGAGAAGCTGTGGCAAATAAGCATGTTTGTTAGAAATCAGATTAAGTCCAGAGCCAGCCGATTCCACCATTTGCTTTCTCTGCCTTAAGAACCATTTCTAGAGGAGAACCAAGATGGCGGCATAGGTTAACGCCAGAGTTTGCTGCCTCGAACAACCACTTCAAAAGTGAAACTAAAAGACGGAACAGACATCACCCAGAACCACAGGAACGCTGGCTGAGTAGAAGTCCTACAACTAGGAGGAAAGAGAACACATACCGACACTCAGAGGAGGTGCAGTGCTGAAGTCAAATTCTGAGGTGCGGAGTGCACGTGGAGCGGGCTGGCGGCGGAGGGCGCGGTTGGCGTTTTCAATCCGGAGGGAGTCGCGGACTCTGAGCTCCAGACCCGGGCGAGTCTTTAGGGGCACAGACTCAAACGGGAGAAGCGGGACTGTCTGGTTTCGGTCGGAACTCGAAGGCAGCTTTCTCTCCGAGGTTTGCAGCGGTTGCTGGGACTCAGAGAGGCAGAGCCCCCGGGACAGGACTGAGAGCGGCCATAAC